GGTCTGCTAAGTATTCAGTAACTAGTTTTCTGCAGTCACGCGTCAACTTTTGTTAAAACACCTTCAACTTGCTCGGACCTTTCGCCATTCCGTTGAGCCATTCCTTTCCTTGGGGAACTGAGTTAACTGAATACAATTGTCAGAGTGTATACTGTATATATTCACAATATTTAATATATATATATATACACATCTCTCTGTGTGTGCTTCACTATGAATACATATTAAATGTAAGCACAGTATGTGCTTAGTCAACAACAGGACGACCCAGTGGTTGCTCCTGTAACTCCTGTACCCAGAGTTTTCATCTCCGCACTCAGCCACCCACTGCAGAACAAAGACCTCAGCTGTCGGGTTCGCCCTCGGGCAGCGTCGGGCAGAGCCGTCCTGGTGTCGGACACCAGGAAAACCACCAGAAAGTCAAGACGTGTGGCGGTTACGGCGCCGCGGGGGCCTTGGTTGACCACCACATGAAATCAAACGAACAAAACATACTTAGTATCGTGTAATTATAAGGAACCTGGTGTTCGTATGTTTTGGGGGATCGTTTGGACAACTCCACGGTTTTATTCTTCTCTCGCGGTCATGGAGAGGGCGCTTCATAAGGGAATTGTGGACCCTTGGGAGGTTCATTCCAAATCACGCAAGGTCATTCCATTTCATTCAACAAATGCTAAGTATAGTTCTATTCTTTTGAATATTAATTTGGACATATAGATACTTGGAAATGCTCGGAATGTCCTAGAAGGATTGGAAGTTAAATGGCACCTTGGTGGGTTTTCAGAAGGCCTTTGCCATGTGTGATTGCTTGACAAGGCTGGCCACTGCAGCCACTGTTTTTTGACCAAAGGGGATGTGCAACTGGTATATATAGAAGACCCCCAGCATCCAGAGTTCTCGGGTTGAACACTTAAACACATCGGTGCAAAGCTAAGGTCCACGGAAAACCCACGACCCGTCCGTCCACCCGTGCAGCACTCGGTGTCCCAGCCAGCCCTGCACACGGGAGCCTCCACCAAACAAAGGCGGCCTCCAAACAAACCAGCAGGTCCCAGGAGTCAAGATGACTTCCTTGGGAATTCCTCGAGCTACTCGAGAATCAGAACATACTGCATACTCCTTCAGATTCAGGGGGGCTAGGTCAGCGCAAGCAGCTTTAGGAAGCAAACATCTGGGTACATAAGGTCAAAAAAATAATCCTGTATAATTAGGCTGTATAGAATCAGGAGCACCTAGAAAATGCATGTGGTATAGAATCTAGCTCACAAAAGATTGACACAAACAAACATGTCAAGAAAAACACTGATAGGCAAAAGCATTGCTTCTATAAAATCAACAGCATGAGGATAAAAGCCACAACAACAACACATGTCTACATTAATCGGGCGAGAAACCCTATGTACTGTAGCTACAAGGGCACAGGAATTCCTTAGACCCTCGAAACTATGGTGGGGCTAAGCATATATCAGCAAATTGCAGCACAAACACACACACACACACACTTGCTCTCCCTGTTTCCACCCTGTGTGTCCTCTGACAAGTCTATAGTGGTTCAATCAGGAATTGCTTAATAAACAAAATAATCACTACAGTATTTGTTGTTTTTCTAAATTGGTGGTCTTCTGGGACTGGCATGGATTGCAAACCATTTGCGGAGCCAAGGACAGCAAAACAAAACGCGAACCCTTCTAGAATCAAGTGCACAACCTCTTCAAGCCTAAAATAACCTCTATAGAATCATAGGGCCTGAGCTTTTGTTTTAAGGCATGGACATGCATATTTCTATGTTTCTTTAAAACATAACATTTTGCCTGCACACCTTCTTGCCTGAAAAAGGTGCGTTAAGCTACTCTTTTTTCAGACTGCAGTGCTTTTAGCCAAACATTGTTTTTGTTAAGCATTTTTTATCACCGTTTTAGACAGGTTCTTTACACATGGATATGAACAAACATAGTTAAAAAACAGTTGAATTACATATGTTGTTTTCCCTCTTCGTTCAAATCCAAAGAACACTTTCAACTTGGCCTTTTTTGGAACCACCTTCTGTTAGAGCGCCGGTGCACCGGGTCATTTCCCCAAAAGCCACTGCGGTGGCATTCCAACGATCCGCTGGCGCGCCAGCGTAGATGGACATCTGGTTGGACAGATTCTTACAAGCTTAGTAGGGCCCAACTGGTGCTTAGCCAGTAGGACATCAGGTTGATGTCATCAAGTTGGTGCTTAGCCAGGTGGCTCCGCCCAACTCGACCCAGCTGGCTCGGCCCGATGTCCGGAGCAAAGAAACCCCGCCTGGCATGGGAGAACTGCCTCACCTGGCATGAAACAAAAAGGCTATGTCAGGCTGAGGACGATGTCGCGCCGGCTTGTTCGAGGATGAATGAGTTGACTCCACAAATTGACTTCACCAGTTTCACGACCATGTACCTCTCATGACCATTTTCAACCATGTTCATTTTCCGTGTTACCTCAGTAGAGTGGCTCTTGTAGCACAGTCACCGAGGTCAACCCTCATCCTTCAAGTGGTCGAACTCAGCAGATCCTCGACAGGTTCTCACCGAAGGCAGATTTCTTGTACGATCACACCGAGAAATACCATTGCTGTCCCTTACTTACATCGAAATCCACCGTATACCAGTTACCAGGATCATCCTGTCGAAATGTAGTGGATAGACGATCGTACCTTCGAACCCCAAGCTCTTTTCATCTCAGTTTCTTCGCCTTCAATCGATCCCTCCGGCCTGCCCAAGCCTGCCAAGCAGCAGCTGGAAGCAGCACCACCTATCGTCCAAACACACAGTGACGGGAAGAGCAAATACACAAAAAAGAACAACTCGGAGACCAAGAAGAGTTGTTTACACTACACATCACTACACTACAGTCACTACAGTATGGGACTGGCGAACAGTCTTGAACACTTGAGCCAAGAGTTCTTTGAGGGGGGGCATATACCCAGCGACAACTCCCGTGACACTGTGCTTGGGGTCACTTGCTGGGCATTCCATAGAGACATGGTGTCATTCACAAAGGATACCGCTACAGGATGATCCCCAAAGCTGGCCCTGAATCAGACTTGAGGCCCCATCGATCATCGAGTGGATCATGCTTCGAGTCGACGACTTTTGAATAGCAAGCCGGGCAAGCGGAGGTTATTTCACCTTCCCTGTCGGATGGGAGTCCAGTCTAAACCTCACGAGTCACAACCTCACACAAACAAACAAACAAACCAACACGGGAGAATGCAACACTGGCTGGCGGAACTCCAAAGCGAATGCATGACCAAAACTGGTTGGCTGAATTCAACACCTGCATTGAATGGATCTTACATCAACTACGTCAGGAGCTTCCTGTCAGATCTGGTGGTATGGGATTTCATGCTTTTCACTGTATGAAATCACATGGGGGTTGTTCAAAAGTCCTTTCATTTTTTCCAGGCCTTTCGCAGGACCTTCGCGAAGCTTTCGCAAGCTTTCGCGCGTGGGGTTTTACCACTGTCGGCGGAAATGGTTTTTCGTTGGGGCTAGAGGCTTTCAAGGATTCATGCAGTTGCCCTGGCACGTCTTGTGTCCTCTGATCACTGACACATTGACTGCTGAGGAACAGGAAGCCAGCCAACCAAGCAGTTTTCATGTTGGTGTGTTTTTGGTTGGGCACAACCCTCCATGAACAAGAGACGGCTCAGTCAGGCCAGTTTGCTCAGACTTCCAATTTGCTTTTTCCCGGGCCGGGAAAAAGCAAAATGGTTCAGACTTCGAATTTGCTTTTTCCGGGGCCGGGAAAAAGCAAAATGGTTCAGACTTCGAATTTGCTTATGGTTCAGACTTCCAATTTGCTTTTTTCCAAGCCGGGAAAAAGCAAAATGGTTCAGACTTCCAATGGTTCAGACTTCCAATTCGGGAAAAAGCAAAATGTAAATGTATCAGACTTGCAGTTTGGAATCCGGCCTGGAAACAAGCAGCGCCTGTGGGACTCGAGCCCACGAGCTTCTGCTTATGAGCCTGGCGCCTTATCCATTAGGTCACTGCTCTCTGAAAAACATGCTTTTTCCAGGCTTTAGAAAAGAAAATTGGAACCGCACGCTGGAGTCACCGACCGTGTTGTATGCGCACTTACAGCTGTAGAACCAACCACCTCACCTCACACACCCTCACCTCACATACCTGCACTTGTGGGCATGCTATGAGTGCATCTGCAGCTGGAGTGTCCAGCGCGTGCTTCCAGCAAGAAGAGTGGAGTGGGGTGGGGTTTGGCCCCGTCGTCTTTCGCGTCCACAATGCGAACCTTTCGCCATACTTGCGCAGTTTCCCACGACAAAGAATTTTCCAAGGGTCGGGAAAAAGCAATTGGAAATGTATCAGACTTCCAATTTGCTTTTTCCCGGGCCGGCAAAAAGCAAAATGGTTCAGACTTCCAATTTGCTTTTCCCGGGCCTGGAAAAAGCAAAAGGCTCAGACTTCCAATTTGCTTTTTCCCGGGCCGGGAAAAAGCAAAATGGTTCAGACTTCCAATTTGCTTTTTTCCGGGCCGGGAAAAAGCAAATTGGTTCAGACTTCCAATTTGCTTTTTCCCGGCCGGCTCAGAGTTCCAATTTGCTTTTTCCCGGGCCGGCAAAAAGCAAAATGGTTCAGACCTCCAATTTGCTTTTTCCCGGCCCGGGAAAAAGCAAAATGGTCAAGACTTCCAACCAAGCCATTTTGATTGCCCAACCCTCCATGAACAAGAGACGGCTCAGTCAGGCCAGTTTGCTCAGACTTCCAATTTGCTTTTTCCAGGGCCGGGAAAAAGCAAAATGGTTCAGACTTCCAATTTGTTTTTTTCCCAGGCCTGGAAAAAGCAAAAAGGCTCAGACTTCCAATTTGCTTTTTCCCGGCCCGGGAAAAAGCAAAATTGTTTCAGATGTCCAATTTGCTTTTTCCCAACCCGGGAAAAAGCAATCGGAAGTCTGAAGAGCAATTGTTCTTGCAGCGTGGCCAGGTCACCAACATGACTTGCGCAGACCTTTCGCAGGACCTTCGCGAACCTTTCGCGACTGCAGTGAGAGCACACTCGAAATCAGCCTTTGAAATTCGATCACTAACAAGGAAGAGGTGGGTTTTTGAACGACGCTCACATGACTGCGAACCCATTTTATCGTTCTTATTTTGTGCCTGGCACTGTTGCTATGCTCTCTCTCGGGGCTGGTCTGTTGACGGTTCTTGTTCCCTTCTTCTTCTCCTCCTTCTTCGGCTCATTTCATTCATGTCCGATTTACTCGTGGTTTTGATGCTTCCAGTTCGCCAACTTCTTCAGCACCTGGCACCAATTCAATGCTGCCGAAGCACTAGCGCTGCTAGGGCGCTGTAGAATTGCAACCTCAGACCAAAGTTTATTCTTAATTCATGGAACCTCGATGACTTCGTGTGCAAGCCGGCGAAGCGACACAACAAACAAAAATATAGAACCTTCCTGCTCTTCCGGATCCTGTGTACAAGCCAACAGCAGCTTGCTGAGTGCGATTCTTTTGAACAAATAGAACCACCTTCTCATGCAACAAATCCAGGCATGGCCATCGCTATTAGGTTGGAGGCCATCGCTATGAGGTTGGACTTCCCATGGCAGCTTTCCCCAACCTTCGCCCTTCGGAGACATGTCTTTAATGACGCGAGCGTGAGGGATCGGTGTTGAATGGTGGTGAATGAACGGTAGACTCGACCCTGTTCCAGTGTTCATTGTTTGTTGGCTTGCAGGATCTTGCAGGAAAACCTCCAGTACCAAACCTCCACAGAAACCTCCCAAATTTACTTCAACTTTGAAGGCAAGTTCCGAAAACACATCATGAAGAACCGTCATGCTCAAGTACGGATTGTGCCCGGGCGACCAACAAGTTTCAGTTCTCCAGTAGGGCTTAGCGAGTAGAGCGGTATGAGGCCACACATATACATAGACCAATTGCCAATTGAAAAGAAACTACACCAAGACACAGGGATTGCGTGATTGTTATGTTTGACACATTTAATGTCCCTTGTTGTTCATCGAAATCCTTGAGCGCTAGCCTGACTTAGTCAACATGGAGGTGCTCTTTCCATTGCACCCATTATCTTCCCTGTTTATGGTCGAATTCCTTAGGGACTGGATGCATGTCCGACAAAGAAGGGATGTCAGAAAGCACACCAATTAGGCCAAGGGTGGGCTCCCGCACTCGTTGGATTTGAAGGAGCCCTTCCTGGTTTCGCGCGTGTGTGTGCTGGTCTCTTTCTGGCTTTAAAGCTGGACCAGTCGCAGAGTTATATATATATATCTATATTATATATATATATAAATCTGTCTTGTGGATCTGTTTTAGAACCACTGCCCGTGTTTTCACTGTCTCTTGGTGATCTCAAGTCGTGAGATCATGTTGGACACAGCGGGCAAAAGGGACACACCTCTCCACTCTGTACGAACTCGATCCAACTATATACCTGGATGCTTCATGAAGAGGAAGACCCAGCCCACATTGATGGAACTACTCAGTCTGACGGGGCGTCAAAACGATGTACGTACTATTACTATGATGAACTATGTCCATGATTTTGAGGGCACAACCGCACACCTGGGCATGCCGCTGCAAGGGTGTCGGTGAAGAAAGCGCAGAATGACGCAGGATGAACACTCTGCCAGATCATCCACTGGGATGCTTTTTTGGGCACAAAGCCAAGCCTGAAAGAGACGTCCACAACGATGGCAAAGGATTCTTCCCCACTTCTTGAGAGAACCACCACACCGGACCATACCCTTCGTTTCACTGCCTCTTCGTGAAGGGTTCCGGTCGCTGACCACCCTCAATCCCATCCCACATATGACCACCAAGGAGCTGAAGAAGCCATGAGCAGAACACGTTCTGAACCTTCACGCCGTCGCTCCACTCAGCGGCACCGTTCCCCAAAAGTGCCCTTGATGAATTCCTCAAAAATGACCAGAGATTCTTATAGATTATGGATGATTATGGATGTGTTTTGGGTGTTGCATTTGGACCCCGTATGAGTGCGGGATCATCCTGAAGATGCACGCTCAGCCCTCCACAAGCATCTCATTCAAAGGTGGGAAGCGGGAGGAGGTGGGAGAAGCACCCCATATGCTCGCTTATCCCATCATGCCCCCCAACACAAAGAAACCTTCCCTGACTTCACGAAACCGTTGCCTCCTTGAGGCCGGCAGAACAGGCTGCAGGCTTAAAGGAGTTGTTCATGTTGTCTACTGTCTACTGCAGTGCCATTCATCAGTAATGTTGGATCTTGATTAGTAAAAGGCACCCCCCCTCAAACAAATGGGGGATCCTCTATAATAAACTACCACCAAAACAAATCTGGGTTCCTAGGAGGATTCCTTTTGTAATTGATTGTAGTATTCATTTTCCTTTCTCAGCTTGTTTGTAATCAAATATTCTCAGCAATCCTTTTCCTAATGCAGCCTCAGAGCTTCAGCTCAAGAAGCCTTCAGCACCCAAGCCCTCAGCTCAAGCTTGGAGCCTATTAAGAATTACTATGTCTATTTTTCTTCAGGAAAAAACTTTGCACAATTGAGGACCCTTAAAACACATTCATTATTGAGGATCACGGGCCTTCCTGGTCTACTACCTTGAAAATTTGTTTAGGAGCAATCTTTACATAAAGGATTGATTAGGGAATTGATGGCTTTGGGAAGCTGTGAGTTTTGAAGAAGAACTATAGAAACCTATATACTTATCGATACTCTCAGCAAGCCAACCATTGGCTTAGTAGTAATTGCTATTTCTATTGTTCTAACGGAAATATACTTAACCCCAAATATTCTTCAGAAAATAAAAAAATAGGATCCCCCAAAAAATTAGCATCATAGAGGACCCTTAAAACAAACAGGGTGTCAATAATTATTTTGTTCAAACAGTTAGCATTATAGAGGGCCCTATTACAAATCAGCGTCCAACATTATCACAGTCCCAAGGTGAAATAACCACGGCATATAGGTCATAGAATGGCCTGCAAGTGCTCGGACGCAGTCCGGAGCATGACTTCATCTTCCCACGATCAAAAAGATCTGGGAGTTTATACGTCGTTGTCCGTCGGAAGGTGTCAACACACCTGACTCCGGAGGTTCAAAGGATACACATCGAGGGCCTCCCTGGTCTATATTATATATATAATATATATCTTGAAAGCACTGCACCACAAATTGGCGTCACACCATTCGTCAAGGACATCCTTTTGAAATCCAAAGAAATCCAGCGGCAAGAACCTCTCATGTCTTTGCTTTTGCCTCTGGTTCAACCCACCGCCCTCCTTCATCGGCCGGCGCTCCCGGCGCATTCTGTGACGTTCACGGCCAGGGCGGCTGCGAAGCCGACCTCCCGGCGGTGGAGATGCGCACTTGACCGGTCGGACCATCGAAATATCTAATACAATGATCCAGGATACTAGATGTTTCTATATGTTTCTACAGGGAATCACACTCACTTGGATGGCATCTTTGCCTCTGGTACAAAATGATGGACATGTGTACCACTAAGACCTTACCGGAGACTCCGGAGACCTATGTTTTGACCTATAATTGTTTCTAGACCTGGATGTTTCAATTGTCCTGGACCTGGATGTTTCTTGGCTGGACCGAAATCCAGCTCGACATTCAAACGAAGCATGAGGATCCATGAGGTATGTGTGGGGACCATGGCAAGTCCTGGCCGCAGCCTAGAAGCATCCGCCAACAAAATCTGCTGTCAGGTGCCACCAACATGGGCTACACGACTCGTGCAAACAGCAACATTGTTCTCTCAAGAAGTCGGAAGCCACCCGTGATCTCCGCAAATTTGGTCTTACCCTGAAGATCCACATACCTTCTGAGAGGCTGATTGGGTATGTAGATATGCTCAGTCAGCTCAGTTTGACCGGACTTCTGCGTTAACTTACCAACTTCAGAAAGCTACACGAACGAAAAAGAATCAACCCATCGAATCAGATTTGCAAACATAATGAGCTCCCAGGATTTTCCAGGCATCGAAACAGAATGCACTTCACCATCAAAACCTCGAGCTTCATCTGCAAATGCTGGAGGTTGAGAATGCCAGTTTTCGATGTCCACTGTACTCAATTCACCGAAATCACGGAGGAGTCACTCCTCCCACAGGGCGGTGCAGTGATAGGGCGCGGATGGAAGTGGGTGATCCCTGTTTGGTGATGGGCCACATGGGTCCCACAGTTATATACCTTCCACGGCTGAGGTCCCCAGCTAACGTGAAGGAAAGCTCCCCTGTGGTGGCCAAGACCAATCCTGCCAGTTGGTGCGATCCTCATCAAACCAGCGCGGGAAGAAGAACACCAGACAAGGATTTCAAAGGGGCATACAATGCAAGCGGCTGCGATAAATAGCATGACACAGTGGAACAAACAAGGAACCCCGTGGAATCCCCCGAATGAAGAAATCCACGCCACGAGTTTCACTTTTTTCATACTTTTTCCAATCCAGCCAACCTGCAAGAAGATTGCAACTCTCTCCTTGTCTTGTGGAGATGGTTAGTACTGGAAGGTGACAATCCATGACTAGCACCTACACAGTGATTGCAACAAACCATGGACTCAAAACCAAACTACTTGTGCGTGGCCACATGCTGACCAACCCCCAAACAGTGATAAACTGTGGCACATGTGTTTGCTCTATTACCAAATCTAGACCAATCTGGCCAAGAAAGAAAGGCACTGCTTGATCCTCAGCTCTGAATTATTCTGAATTTCTGGAATCCCAGCATCCCTCTTGCAACCACCCAAGCCAGCCTAGCAGAATGGGTACCAAGGTGACGACTGCTGGCAGCCTCGGCGCTGGGCCCGACTGTCTTGCCAACACTGGTCAGTTGCCTCAAGCTGTTGCCAACATGTGGAGACTTACTTGGCATGGCCCATGACCTTCGGCAAGGCACCCAGTTAGGGCAGTGGTGTCCTTGCGCAGAACAACTCCCGTGCTCTTTCCAGCCGGGCCCCCCTGCGGCGTCCGCTCGCCCGTGAGCAACCAAGCAGCTGCGACCTGAACACTCGCCCTCCGGTCGACCTCCGTCGCGGAGTTCGGAAAAACCGGTCGAACATCTGAGATTCGAGGTGAATTCAAGAGATTAAAGCGCCTAGCGCATCTTCACAATTCCTATGTTGACGAACAGAACACCCTGCCACTGCGACCGACTCTTCCCAGTTTTGAGGTCCAAATCGAGCGTCGAAACGAGACTCGACCGTCCCACCCACGATGCCAAGCAGCTGTGAAAAAAGGGCTTGACGCCTGCACGGAAGACTCTGGCTGTTCTCCGAAGCGATCAGAACATCTCAAAACCGCGGAGTGAAGCATCAACAAAAAGACACATCTTATACGAACTGATCTACACCCACATGCCCCTTAGATGATTTCCAACGGTTGATCTTGGAGACAACTTTGCTCTGGCCCAACAAGGCAAACATCCATTTGTGGAAAACGGTAATAGACGTGTGATGACCTGTGGGCACCAGCTTCTTAGCGTCTGGTCAGTGGGCATCTTGCAATGCCCAACCTGCAAGTGGATCTGTGCCAGGGTGAGGATAGCTGGCTTGAATGGATGCTCGGCTAAGCTCCAGCTCCGCAGCAACATATCAACAGGGTGCTATGATGTCCAAGAAAGGACAACAAAACAAACTTGTCTTTTGCACTCATATGACCATATGATTGTGAGCCACAGTTATGCTTTGCTTATCTATGCTTGAGTTTAAGTTTAGTCGTGCCTTGCTCTAACCCAGTTAAGAACACCTGGCAAAAAAGTTTTTAGCAAGCCCTGAAATGAACATTCCAACCTGGGATGTGAGACTTGAAGGGGATACGTATCTCTATAGGGATATAGGGATTGCTTCATCCCTTCCACCTTCACTGAATTAGGTGCTTAACTGAAAAGCACACCCTTCCTAGCCCTCCACTGCGCAAAATGGCCAGCCACACGCCTTGACAACTTGACCCGGTGCCTTGATGGTCTCCGTAAAGGAAGCCGCCACAAAACTCAAGCTCACCAGGCCCAACACCGTGACCAGTACCCTGGACCGGCGGTTCCCGGCGACGTGTCACCCGAACAGCCGGGAACAGCCGGTGCCATCGTCCGGGTCGCGTGGTTTGACGAAGAACTCGTCCGGGAGAAGCCAAGGTGTACTGCGACAGCCCACGCCCAATGTTTAGTTTAGTTGGGGTGATGGTGTGTCACATGCGTCGAAAATCGAAAAGCATGACAAAGGAAGAAAAACATTCGTCCGTGACCTATATATAACTATGTTCGGGCGAAAATGGCATCGCCAACTTGCCGGGGCCAGTGGCACCAATGTGGCACATAGGTAAACATACAGCCCAGCAAAGCACAGCTGCCCAGGCTTTTTGTTGGGTGCTTTTGGATTTCAACAGCTTAACTCTAGGCCTGGTACCTGTTCTAGGTCACCGAGTCGATCAAACTGTTCCCTGCCAAATCACTTCCGTTAACTGTTACGTACTGTTTTTCAGTTGAATGACCGGAGGGTCGCCAAAAAAGACACCCCATGCTGCGACCACGGACCTTTTTGAGAAACTACCGCCCTTTCCGACGTCCGAGGAGAGGTCGAGAGACCTGAACTAGGACCCTGTAGTGGTACATATGGGATGGGCGACAAGACAGGCTGTTCAACCTCTCTTGGTATATATGAAAACATGGCAGCCCACCATGAACAAATCCCTGTACATCTTGTCCAGGCACGGCCAACACAAACATCCGAACAAGAACGCAACACCCAGACAAACCACGCCCCCTCAAACCCTTCGGCTTTCAACACCATAATGATCCATCATAACTTCCATGATAGAATCATAGGCCTAAGTGGCCTTGACAACCATGACTACCACCTGGTCCACAAACAAAGACCACCGACACGTCCGCTCTCTCGGACTCTCGGACTCGGTTTCGGTGCCGTAAAAGGCCCAGCAAAAGGAGGTCGTTGACCTCGCTGGCCTCAGCGAAAAGGACCCTCCGTGCGATGGAGGGATTGAAGTTGTTTGAGTTTTGGACCTCAGCGAGAGTGCTCCTTTGTTCTGGGCCACGGGAAAGAATGGACACCTCTTGGTAGGGAGGTCACCTTTGAACGAATCTGTTTGGAAAGCTGCAACAACCCCGTCAAAGGGGGGGCAAAGGCTTCACTGCAGGGCGGCCTACCTTGTTGGTTTCTGGTCTCCTTTGGTCTGTTAAAGGAGTTGGAGGTCAAAAAAGTCACCGTGCCCGGCTCCGCGTCCCCTTGGTATCTCAAGTTGCCCTTGGTATCTCAAGTTGCGCGGTTTCAGGTCAAATGTCCTTTGTAGTTGAGCTCCGCTGAGGTTCTGCTTTCAATCCACACGTCTCTTGACCGGGAGTCCCTTCAAGGTCACCTCCGGGCGCCCGGCGGAGCCCACACGGCGGATGGCCGACCTGGACAGTAGCTTCTCGTTACTAGTAGTAAGGCCAGGAGCCCCGTTCGTAGCGTCCTTGCTGATAGTAAGGCCAGGAGATGCCAGGAGCCCCGTTCGTAGCTTCTTGTGCCGTTCGTAGCTTCTTGTTACTAGCGATGGCCTCCACCCTAATTGCAATGGCCTCCACCTAGTTGTAGCTTCTTGCTACTATAGTAGCAAAAGGAACCTTTAATAGGAATGGCCTCCACCCTAATAGCGATGGCCTCCAACCTACTTGTGATGGCCTCCACCTAATAGCGTCCTTGCTACTATGGAGACAGTTGATGCATCAAATCTCCATATCCAAAATGTTTAAGCTTCCTGCTAGGGCAGTTGAATCCCTTCCTGGGCCGATGAAACAAAACGTTGCCATCCCCTTTAGAAAAGAACTCCGATGTCGTTTTGTTAGGGGAACGGCGGAAGAACTTCAAAACCGAAAAGCCGCCTATCAAAAAATGTGAAATATAGATCCTTTTTTGGAGCTCGTCTCAAGAATTGAAATCCTTTTCCCTGTTGCAAAACCCTTTTTCAACATGTTGATTCTCCGACATTCGGTACACGGCAGTTCGGTGGGTACGAGGAACCCACCGAGTTCGCGGCAGTTCGCCAGTTTGCCCCGCTGGCCCCGGCAGCGCCGAAGACAGCGAGCCGAACGAGTTCGGTCAGCCAGCCGAGTTCATCCGCCAGCAGTAGTTCCGGCAGGCAACAGCTGGAGGATATGCAGTCTGAGCTACATATCATCACAATAATGGTCCACAGCAGGCAGCTGCTAGGCGCGGTTCAGTGAGAAAGCCAAACAGGTTCTCAACAAAATGGAATGTAGGACCTCCCTGTTCCTGGGCCTGGTTGCGCTTAAGAGCACAAACAAACCCAGGCAGCTAGCAAGGCAGTTCCTGTAAAGGACAGCCGAGCTAGCAAGGCAGCTCGCACTCACTCACTCTGTGCACAAAGGACAGCCGAGATCAGCCGAGCTGTCGCCGACCGTGCCCGTGCCAGGTATGGAAGAGAAACGTAAAACCCTGCGCGAAACCCATCTGCAAAGGGAGGGAGATGGCCAACTCGAAACTTCTGATCGCGTCTTCCTCCCCTCCAGCAGCGCTCACCTTCCAACCGTCTGGAAAAACACGCCCGTGAAGACCGTGGACCTTGGCACGTGCAGGTGTGAGCGAGCGCACCTGAGTGCTACCGCACCATGACCGGTTGCTATATTAATGGCAATGTGAATGCATTGAACGCTTATCTACCAACAAAGGCCGAAGAACCTTATAGACTATCCCATAGGTACCCCAGAGAAGTCCTATAAGGTCACTCAACCTCTCTTGGTAGATCTTGGTAGTTTGTGGAAGCTTGTGGTTGATCTTGGTGGCGGCATGTAACGGCCCTGGTGGCCGCATGTAAGCCGGCAGCAAAATCGTGATGACAAACCACCACGCAATCCAAAAACTGAGCCTGCTGCAGCATCTGCACCTGCCCGGCTGCAAACAGAACAACTGATGAGCACAAACACACACACACACACACCGCACACACACATATATATATATATATACATACATGAATGTACACTATCTCCTTTCCTATCCGTGCAACCTCTCTCAAGGAATGCTGCTGTGGCTGAAGGGTCAAAGGTGTTCGGGATGTCAAAACATTCTGTCTTGGAGAGTTATACGGTTAAAGAAAATCAGCACAACACAATAATTGTAGTAATTATATGTAATTAAAGTAATTAGATGTAATTGGCAGTATATAGCATACTGTTGTCCACTACCTCTACTCGCGCCTCAAATATCTTTGTAAAATTTTGCAAATGACCTTGGAGGTTATTCCTGGGATTCCTAGGGAACAAGGAAGTATATAGTATGATCCAACGTTTGCTCAAATGGTAGGACTGGCAAAGAACAAAGAGCAAAAACGTTCAGTTCAGTAAAATGCACATGGCAACGCTTGGAAACCGGAAGCTGCAATGACAGCTCTCCTGTCTCCTGGCTCTCCTATTTGTATCGTCTTGTCAAGATCCAACAGATATTGCCTACTCAAGATGCAAAACATGAACATCCTCTCAAACATAATGGAGAGTTCGTGGATCACACACAGCCTTGAAGACTTGCCTACACTGCCTACACATCCCCCAGCTCTCTCGGCTGCTTTCATCCGGGGATCCAAACCAGGGCCAAGACAGTCACTGTGATTCTCTCACCGCTGGCGCCTCCCGTGGGAGTGGAGTAGAAGCAGGGCGCAAGCTGTCGTCGCAAGCTGTGCGGCATTGTAGGGAACACATGGATAGAAGCAATTCTTGTTAGTTCTTGTTGCTGTGAACAGAAGTGCTATCCTGTAAACAATCCTTTGAGTAAAAGCTTGGCCAGCAAATCGGATTCCATCCCAGGTCAGGTGTTTCTTTGGAGGCCGACTGTTCCACTTTTGGGGGAGGTCTCTCTCTCTCTCTCTCTGCGTTATATCTATATATAGTAACCGCAGCTTTGCGGGCTGGCTCTCCCGTGCCAGCAAGTCAACCGATGTCACGCATGTTCAAGAAGCTTCACGCGTCCTAGCCTGGTGACAAGAGCTCCTTGTTGAGAAGGATGCCCAGAAAGGATCTCAGCACCGTCGAGCGACGTGACGAGTCCAGGACGACTGGTGGAGTCGACTGGTAGACTGACCACGCCGACATGTGTGTTCTCTAAGCCCTCTACCAGAATGGTTTTACATCTCCGTCAAGTATACGATCTACATCGATCTACTGTGTATTGGGGGATTGTGGGGTCAACCTTTCCTTCAACAAACAGAGTCGTTTTCTCGATCCGTCGGACCTTCGCGCCAGGACGATCAAAAAGACCGATGTCGCAACAGCTGCGAAACGTGACACATGTCGGGCATTGTGCACTAGGTTGACGAAGAATCTATGGGTTGGTGCTTCCCCTCTCGCCTCGATCTCCATTTTCAGACGTGCATCGATCTGATTGCTGAGGTCTGAGCACCACATACCAAAGCGAGACCTTAACGGCCATCGGCAGTGTTCAGGTCCCCTGCTGATCCTCCAAAAGTCAGGAACGCCAGGGACAAAGGATTGTGGATGTATTTTTTCCCCTAAAGAGGTTTTGAACATGCCTTCCGAGTATGCCGCATGCCTGGTCTCCTTCTCATCATCCTTCTTCCATGCTGGCGTGGTCTCTACATTATGGTGTGAGGCGTGAGCATGCCACTCTTGGCCCGTGCTCCAAAAATACACGTCATGTGGCAACATGCTTGCGGTCGGATTGTGCCCTGCAACGGCAAACCTGGGTTGTCTGGGGTTCAATCGTTAAAATATGTGAAAAAGAATTCCAGGCCCCTGGAAAGAATGACTCCTGATGTTTGCTGATGCACCCCAGGTATCCTTGTCACTCAGATTCACTGAAACACACCGCGATGCACTCGCCAGCCAAGCAACGAGAAGAAGCCGTCGCGCCCTGCAACGATCAATGCTACCATAAGAAAGATCCTGGTTCATCAGGTCTGCATGCACTGAACAGTCATACAGGTATGGGTCAAAACTCTATATTTGACATTGATGTTAGATGTATATACAGTACAGTATATGGTACACCCCCCAAATGTCTACCTTTTTTTGTTTGGATTAGTATTTGCGGTGTAAGGACTCATTTTATAAGGACATGTTCCTGGCTCTTTTTTAGCGCTCTGCCAGCCACACTGGTTGGATCCCCAACCAAACCAATTCTAATCCCGCAGGGCACTAATTCCTTACAACATGACAATGGAAAACGGTTGCGAGTTTCCTACAAAATGATGATGCGCAGCCTAGCCACATTCTTGAGTCCCACATATTCATTTCATACAGTTCTTACAAAATGTGTTTGTTGATAATGATAGCACTCTTACACAATGAGTGGTGCCAGCCCACCATGATCTCAAAAATGTGATTTCCTTACTAAATGACCTCCTGTATAATCACCAGGCTTCTTACAACATGATGTTTAGTTACCTTGTTGCAAAAGTGGCCTGGGTGCTTGACATTTGTTTCTTACAACATCACCCCTTTTCAAACCCATTTACAAGGGCCTGAAGGCAACCCATTTCATAGTGGAAATGGTCATGGGGATACATATGTGTATATATATAGATAATAGAACCCCTATATGTATCATGTATATATATATATATAATCCCTTATGTTTATAATGTCTATTCCCACCAGGATTATAATTTGATATTGACCTTTCACAACATCACATATCCTTTTTCCCGATTGTTCTCCGTGCGGCTCCCGGCCTCCACTGGCTGTGGCCCTGCGGATTCGAGATGGGCGTCGAACAGGGCCGGCGTCGGTATAGGGCCGGCTCAAACCTAAGGGATTTGGATGGGATGGGAATGGTAGACTGTCAGTCCTAAAGGTATAAAACCTCTGTCTGCTCACAAAAAGCGTATCACGGCATGGGCATGCAATGGATAGCTTCCTCCACAAGCCAGTAGGTTTTCAGGTTCCATGTAAATCTCTGCATGTTTCGTCCAATCCTTGCTGCTCAGCTGAGGGGTTGGTCTCACTCTTCCCACTCCCCGGCTTGCTTGGCTCCTCGACAGGGCCACCGTGTCTGGAGTCCGCTAGACTCCTCCAAGTCGTCTGAACAACCACCATCCAGCTTCCGCGGCCGTTCCTCATCCTCCGCCCCCCCACGAAGCAGCTTCCGCACGCTTGGCTCCGGTCCGCAGCCTCCGTATTCTTTTCAGTGGAAGCCGGCTTGGAGCGAACACTGGACGGTGCCCCTGTTGACACCTCATCCTTGGTTGGTGCGGCGGTGCAAAATCGGCGTCCAGGGCCGGAAGTGATTGCTCCGATCAAAGGAATGACGGCCATAGATAGACTTGCTGAAGTGACCGTCATGGAAGTGGATAATGACCGGATCGTGGTTGACCCTTTCTTTTCCGCTACGTTACAAACACAATGATCATTTCGGGGAGTGTACAATGATCAGTTCGGGGGGTGTATACATACACTCCCAAGCATGATCGTCCACAACCTTTGCACATTGAATCACTAAGTGAATATATACATAAGGGAGTTGGGGCAGAACTCTTACGAATCATCAGAAGCGACCGTTCCGATTTGCGTTGGTTCGTACTCCTAGGACCAATAGGGGGTGAACTCCATACACCGGCAATACAAAAAAATCACCTGAAGCCGTTTTGGGTCACTTGAGTACGTGGCGGCGGCGGCACATGTATATGCAGCATGCCACAACTCAAGCCAGATCAACTGACATGAATGATTATGTGTCCACCACACCTGCCCTAGAAGCACCAAACACTACAATGCACACCCAGAACCTGAGTGACCTCTAGTTTTTGGACCACCAACCACCAAAAATATGGTCTTTCCCTATTAAAACAAAGGTCAAATGGGTTCTAGGTACACAACTCTATACATTAGAAGAGTCATGCATGTTCGGTAAGTTCTTCTTGGTGTAACGTGTAGTGTACTGCCATCGAATCTCTCAACTTTAATATCTTTAATAGAAACACGTGCACTCTGATAGTGTGGTTGCAAAGAAACTGAAGAATCACAGCAGTTTCCTGAATGACATAAACACGAAGCTACTAGTAACAAAGGGCATCGCTACTAGGAGCAAGGACGCTACTAGGGGCTCCTGGCCTAGTAGCTCCTTGTTGTTCCCACTTTAGATGCTTCACAGGCCTGCAATCCGCTGCACTTTCCCGGCTGTCCGGCACTTTCTCCTGGAAGCTTCACGGGGTGACATCAGCAACGAGAGATACTGCCCTGGCGATGTGGAAGTTATTTGAAAATACATTCTGCATGAACCCCGCCTATGCAGCTATGCCAAAAATGGTTATAGTGTATGTTATAGTGTCATCAAGGAGTATTATGACTCCAGCGAATTGGAACCATTTTCGGGGTAGTGGGGCACATGAGATTGAAAACAATGATTCGTTTTTGTGTTCTGTGCTTGTTGTTTCTTTTCTTCGGGCGGCAAGGTGGGGAGCCTACAGCCTACATTCTAGCTGGTCTGTGTTCCACCCTTCCCGGCCGCCCGTCACATACAGTGGGCTCTGGCGCCCTGAACATGTTTCCCCTGACCTTCCATCAGCACCAGTGGGCCTTCACACCCAAATAGGAGGACGAACGCTGTTTCGGCCCAAAAGCTTCAAGGTACTCTTCAAGGTCGAGGCATAGACCGCTATGACTCAGACTTGATATGAATATATACTTCAAAGCCTTGATGCTTTTGCTGGCATTGAGGCTGCTTCCCTTCCCTTGGTATCATTTCTTGCAGCACCTGCCATGGACCGCACATTGATCCCCTTGCGTGTCATGAGTTGCTCAGACATCCACGAGGTTGCCTCCATCTGTCCTCGATGATGCGATGATAATTCTGCTTCTCTGTTGCTAAGTAGGGAAACGCGCAGGGGCCGCCATTCTCAGCTTATAATTTAGGTAAAGATGCCGGGGACGGAATTATGCGAAGCTTTACACGATATTCTACCGTGTTCGATGTCAATGAGGCAACCTCCTATGGCAATTGCCAGACGAATCTTAACTCAGTACAAAGCTGCCAAAGCACAAACACCTGTGTTTGCTCCCAGTGTTCCAAGTGCCAACTTGCAGGTAGCAGCATCGTCAAATTCCAAAAATATTGACAATTAAATTCCACCCCGGCTTGTGACCACCACATCATCAATGTCCATTCGTTTGGATAAGTGATGAGTTTTCAAAAACAGCGGGTGCTTTTCCGGGGGTAAGCACAACTAAGTGGAGTTCATCTAATCATATCTAATCTATTTCACCCGCTGTTGGTACTTGTAGACCGCAGTTGTTGCCTTCCAAGGGACCCACCACCCTCCACGCAACGCCACATGACCACGTCGTGACCATGTGATGTGTTATTCGTGTCGAACCAGTTCTCGCCCGTCACGGCACCATTACCGCTCCTTCGAGGTCACGGTCACGGCACATGGCTGGTCCCTCCCCCTTGAGGTCAAAAGTGCCGTTCGTCCAGCGTGAGCGACCCGGACCCAGCGGACCGAGGAGGTTCAGTGAGGCCGGTCTTCCTCTTTCCGGTGAAAGGGTTTCTTGAAGAATGCTGTGGGAAAGTGCAGGCTTTAAACAAAAGCCTATACTGCCACCAAGAGGAACGCAACCTTATGCAACCTTCCCATGTTAATGAGGTCACACATAATACACATTGATGACACTTTGATATACTAGGTATATATTTGCATTGTTGATGCCGCAAATGGCTTTTGCCTCGGAAGAAGCTTTGGACATCTTCATGTATTACTCTAGCAGGTTCTCGCACTTTTTTGAAGACCTCTACCACCTGTCCAACCGAAAAAATCCGTCATAGACTGTTCGGATCTTTTCGGTTGGGCCTAAGTGCCATGCAGTTTGTTCAAGTATCACTTACACGCAGTTCAATTGTTGACCCAGTTCCCATTGCAAAGTGAACCCGAATCTAAGACACTGATTCAAGATCAAACACTGGTCTAAAGGTGGACCATCTGACCAATCTGCAGCACAGAAACTCGAAAGCAGCACTGCCTGCGAGCGGAAGCTGAGAAAAATCATACGCATGTCGCGAAGTCGGTCGACCACAGCACGCAAAATGGCGCGTGCCACGTCGCACGTGCAGTGTCACGTCCCGGCTGGTCAATGCGTTTGAAGCCTAAGAATAGGACCTTTGACTCACAACGGCACATGACTGGAGTCCATATCGGTTTAGATGTGCGACCCGCTCCGCAAAGTGCATGCGCAGCACCCGGTATGTGAATGTACTACGTTGTTTATGTATAAACGTTGATGAATTTGCTAAGCCGAGGTGTTGAGTTGCCCAATGTGTGGGGCGAAGGAAAACAACATCAAACACCACCTAGCTGTTTACACCTGAACTTTCAGCATATATATTATACATTCTCTAGGCCCTGCGACTGCGCGAGAGCAGCGCGACTTAGCAAACAGGGCATGTTCTGTAATTTAATGATTTTGACATTTATATGTTGACAAGGTTTGACTCACGGTATCATGACAAAGCATGAGCTCAACAAACACAATGATAGGATTAGGAAGTCAGCCAAAGAAACTGCGATCAAACGCATGCGCACACCGACACAATTGGATCCTAAGCCTAACATATGAGAGGATCTTAGCCGGACATCCACCAAAAGCATGGGCATGCCGATCCGAGTCAACTTCGAACCGGAACCCAGTAGGGCTCCGCCTGCCTTCTGAGAAGGTGTTTGGGACGGGTTTGGACGGTCTATACTTGGGACGTATTTAGAGCTCTGGGAAGTTGACAGAGAATCCACAACATCTTCTTTCTTAATGAGCGTGCTTCACGAGCTCAAACACCTAAGATTCTCAGATCCTGGAATACTAAACAACTCTTCGGATCTGTTCGAATCAAACCTGGCCTGAAACATCCTGAAACCTGGGATGTCACGTGTGTTTTTTCTAGTTGTTTTTTTCGCATCGCACAGCTGCTACCTTTTTGGGGTGTCCATTTCAGCATCGTGTCTTCTCCGGCTCATCGCCGTGGCCACCACGCCCAACCTCAGCGGTGGCACGGTGGCCCAGCGGTGGTCACCATTGGTTGCCCTCGCTGGTGGTGCAAACGATGTGGATCAGGAGGAACTGCGAAATCGGTGGGCAAAATCGGGTGGGGCGAGAGCAAACTGCCACAACACCCATGAACTGTTCGATTGGACATGTATGCTAGGACGTGCTCGGACAGTGCAGTTGAGGTGTGACCTGTCACTCTTGCGAAAGCCCTGAAAGCCTAAAGATTGATACAGCCACTGGTTTTGTCCATGTTTCTTGACACACCAATGGACGAGCCGTGATTCTGAAGAAGGTTGCGTTAAAAACATGTCAGCATAGACCCCAAACAATTTCAGCATTGTTTCTTTGGTGCCAACTCCTTGAGTTCCAATGTCTGAGGTGACGCCTGTATTGGGAATGGCATGTAAATGTCAGAAAACAATGGCTGGTACCTGAATTGTCACATGTGTAAGTGCAAAGGGGTAATATGAAATATGTGTCATGAGAAAATCCCCGGATGATGATATCAAACGCTGCCTCACTGTCCCATTCAGAACCACACAAAGGCATACCCGGGCAAAATGGTGGAGAAAGGAAAAACGGCGCTGCCAAGCAGGGGATAAGGCCAGGACAAAGCGGTGATGAAGGGTCGACAACGCCGACCAGCAGGACAGACCCGGACAAGGCCTGGACAAAACGCTCACGAGGCAAAGAGACCCACGGCACCCGGCCCATAGCGCGGCCAAGCAGGAGGATAGGAGGACAAGGGAGGGACAGGACAAGAGGAGGACACAGGGTTGGCCAGCACAGCCAAAGGACAACAGGAAGACAAGAGGAGGACAAACGAAGGACAAGAGGAGGACGCTGGGTTGGCCAGCGCGGCCAGAGGACAACAGTTGTCCAGCGTGGCCAAAACACAACAGCACCAGGGGGCAACAGCAGGACAAGAGGAGGACAAGACCGGACACAAAGTTCAGGGGCACGGCCAGCCAGTGTGGCCAGTTCTTTTTCCCTGAGAGACCCCCAACAGTGAACGGTTGGGGAAAAACATACTAAAATATGATTCAACTTTCACCATTGGCATTTTGCGCCTTCAGCAGTTCCCTTCCAAAAAATGTCCATCTTGCCTCACACCACACCAATAACCACTGTGATGAGGGCCCATCCTGATCAGGCCTGTCAGCTTGCCCTGGGGAGGCTCGTTTTGGGTCAGAAGATCCGATCCTGCTGCCCATGGGGTCCCCCAGCCATTGCTCACCTGGGCGATGGGGAAGAAACACATGAAACGACTTGAAGTAGGAAAGTCATTGAGCCAATTGCTCTTCCAAGTTGGTTCTGCAAGGCTGCTACTTGTGCTTCCATTTGAAGACATTATATACAAACGAACGAGAGTCCGGCACTGAAGTGAGTTGAGAGTAGGTGAGTTCTAGGTCTTAGGAACTGGCCCCCATAGAGCAGGAAAAGAACGCGCCGAAAAGCGCTCAGTTAGGGATGGAGCATGTTGAACAAAGTGCATACGTCTTGGGCCCAGTTGGGGCCTCTTGAACTACACATATGTACTACGCATACGATCAACGTCTTGTATGCTTGTGGTGAGTTACAGGTCATTGTGTCGACGGACTAACGCACCAGGGCGGCCATGTCGAGGCCGGATCGCCCAACGCCGCAGCGCCGCTTCGACTCGTTGCCTGCGGCTGCTTCTTCGGTGCGGAGGCCCTGGCAGCGGGGCGCCAGGGACGCAGGACATGTCCGGCCTCAGCCAAGAAGGGGAACCATACATTATATATACCAAAAGTTCCAAAGCGGTGCTTGTTGGAGGGTAGGGGAACCCATTATCCACTCACTTCGTGATTAAATGCAGTCCTTCAAAAGGGCTGGTAGCTGTATTTATTGCGAGGGGGTGCCACCACGGAAACTATAGCCGAAATTATTCACTTCAGAATCCTTGGTCGTGCACATGGAGAGTCATTTGAGAAGAACCCATACATATATATATATACACATATCTCTATATATATACACATATAGCATATATCTATATATGTGTATATATATATAAGTATATATGAACCATTTTGAACTGATATGAGCGATGATGAATATCCTCCCATGTGACCCCGGCCCCTGGGCCCAGCCTGAGCATGAGGCGGTGGTCCACCCGTAGCTCGGCGACCGCCACGGCGGCAGCGCTGTGCTCGGCCATGTTCTGCCCGCTGTGCTGTTCGCTTGCGCTTGGCCATGAAAGAAATGGATAGGTTGGCAGTGGGGACTTCTTCCCATATCGAAGTATCAGATCTTTCGACATGAGGGACTGACACACCACTTACAATGTAAGAGGTGTGTGGCAAAAGTAGTAGTGGAACATGTGGCTCTTGGGCCCGTCATCTGAACTTGAAAAAGGCTCTCACTTCATGGGAGAGCCTGTGGTCTAATCCCATCACCCTCACCTGGCAAATCATGTACCATAGCGGCTTAGGCTATAACAGCCCTCTCGCACTCCCTCTTCCAAACCTTCATGGAATTCTGTCCAAGCGATCACATTGCCAGTGACGCCTGCCCTCCTTTCGGAATCCATGTCGTGCACTGCCGATGAGGTTCACCATTCTTCCGGGGAACAAATCCGTGCGCTGCACAGAAGTCGTCGATCACTTCGAGAGGCCACGCTTCGCAGGGCCTCTTAGGTTGGAGGCCATCGCTAATTATTAGGATGGAGGCCATTACAATTGGGTTTCTTTGATATTCGTCGATTCGGTTTCAGAAGAAAGCTTTGAAGTGGGCGACTCTTGAGCGTGGCGAGCGTTCATGCCGAGCCAAGACTTTCTGGCGGTTATTTGTGACGGACTTTGTTGTCCTGTCTTTCTTCATTGAGCCGTTGATGGGGTGCACCGCTTCTCCATCTGGCCGGCCTGGGGATGCCTTGGATTGGAGGGCCTTCCGCATGGGGAGAGCGGGTCAGAAAAAACGGATCGATGCTGGAACTGAACGATGGCGGCTTCAGGAAGCCTCGTTTTCATGCAGAATTGCAAGAATTCTCCACCCAAAGCAAGGAGACTGAGACTCTCAGCGTCCCAGGGCCAGACAGCTAGCTGAAAGAGTCAGGCACGAGTAGGAAGCTGGTGCAACATATATGTGCGAAGGCAAAGCACTTCTTCTTTGGGACAGCCATTTGATATATAATATATTATAATATGAATATGTTTTGAAAACATCTTTCGTGAGGGCAAACGTTACGTCGCGCTGTTTTCATACAACACAGCGCGTGCCCTCTGAGGAAAAAGGTTTGCTAGCTGCTAGCCCGACCACCAGGCTTTTTAAGCCCGGCATCCAGCGAACTCAAAACATATGGTTTGGCCCCCCTTCCACGCGCGCCCCAAACTGGCTCAGAAACCAGGGAAAGAAAAAGAGCACGGGAATTAATTAACCTTAACCATCATCCCAAAGTGATGATTCAAGACGAAAACAAAGTGGTGTCGGTGACTTTGCAAGCAACTCTACGCGAGCAAAACGCTGATCTTCCATAAGAAAATCCAAAACTTCAAGAAAATCCCAAACGAACAAATCGCGAAAACTAAGCAGGTTGCACTCGTGATGCGCAAATCATTTTGGTCGAGGACCTGGGCCCTTGAA